TTCCACGAAAATTTTCAGGACCGAGGATCGTTAGGGCAATCTGACCACGGTCTCCCAAACAGTGCTTTGTCCGGGTAACACGACGGCGGCACTCTATCACGACACTCGAAATCCTTAATTATTATGCAGCAAAGCGAAGCAGGAATCCGGGTAATGCCGGCAGTCGAACACCGCCGTATATACTGTCGTAACGTAACGTAAGGGTTTCCGTAGGACCGGGTTCGAACGCAGGGGACCGGGGCCGAGGAGTTCCTAAAACCGCACTGACCTCCAATTATCCTGTGGGTACCACGTGGCCCACGTGGTGCCTCCCTACGGACCGTCCGCAAACACCCCTATGTCGGTCTCCCCCGCTCACCATAACGCCCCTCGGATTAATTCATTATTAAAATAACCCGTGAGCTTGTTGCCGCTTTCTACTCGACAGGAAATCGAGTTAAATTCTTGCCACGCAGTCAATTCCGAGACTCGTCGGACAATAACGATGAGATAAATTGTTAGGATAGCGAATGATCCCTTCGAGACCGAAATTTGGATTGATTCATTATTAAAATAACCTGTGACCTTATCGTTGCTCCGTATTCGACAGGAAATCGAGTTAAATCATTGCCAGGAAGTCGATTCCGAGACTCTTTTAGACGAGAACGGTGAGACAACTGGTCAGGGCAGACGGATCATCCCTTTGAGACTAATGACACGCACAATTGACTATAGGATTCACCGTGAGCCAGGGTTAAAGGCTACAGGGCTACGTATAAGGGAAAATCAAAAGTGCTCATTAGGTATTCCGAGGTCAGAAAGGGCGTGCAACCCTCTTGTCTTGCGACCAAGTATGGAGACCAGAGATCCCAACTAAGACCAGACATTTCAATAAACTCTGGCAAACACCACTGGGTTTAGACCGCGCTGACCGCATCCTTGGATAAACCAAAACTACCACTAGAAATTTTATGAAAAATAAAACGTTTATAGTAATCAAAGAAAAGAACATATTTCAGATATTCATGAATCTCAAGAAATGCAATAGGCATTTATTTTTAATTTTCTTGCACATTCAGTGCATATAATCTGAAGTCCGAATTTTTCTTCACTGCCATTAAAAATGTAACAACGTATTACGCGAGATCTGTTTATCGAGGCGCAAACGAGCCATTAATAAACGAATAACGTCGAGAGGGCGGCAAGTGGTAGTCGAGACTCGTACGATAACCCATAAAACTTTCCTTTATTCGTGGAGCGTCGATCCTCTCGAATTAGCGAAATGATTTCCGGGGGAGAAAAGTTCTCCGCGCCTCGCGTCCTCGGTCACTTTCGCCCCCATAAATCTATCTCCCCTATCGCGGGTTCGCGATTGGAACCTGCGCTGGCTCCGTTCCGTCGCGCTCGTCGAAATAATTCCCGAGCAGAAACTGAATTACCGCGTCTGATTGGAACGAACTCGACCAGAAGCGTATTGTTAACAAACTTCGTTAACAAAGGGAGTTAAAATACTTGTAACAGGAATTGCAACGAGATTATTCTCGCGCATGTACGTATGTATGTATGTACATTTCCTCGAATTCAATTTTAAATACTTCTCTTTTCCTTCTGATTCTTCGTTGGGAATTGAGATAAGAAATATTCTCAGCGTTTTCTGAAGGAGTTAAAACATACTTTCAGGTTCATAATTCCTTTCAAATTTAACTTTGACTGTTTCTCTGATGATCCTTTGCAAGGAAATGGGGTAAGAAATGCATCCAGTGTTTTATACCCGCGCGAAACGAATCGTTCGTCGTCCGGCTTTAAAACTTCATTTCCCGTCGTTCATTTCCGAGAGCAGTCTGTCTCCCTCCGAGAGAGGCGGGGTTGCCGCACACACGCGCGTCGAAGTTCGTCTTCCGTCTCCTTTGTCTTAGGGCCGATCGGACTCGTAAGGGAAGTTCCCGAGTTGTTTCCCGGATGGGAACCGGCGAGCGTCGGCCCGATCACGGTTCATTTCGTCCCGGTCAACCGTCCCCCGTCCTCCTCTCGCTCTTCCCTCTTTCGTGCTCGTTCCTCGCCGGCCCCGAGGAAAAAGAGAAAATAACCGGTGTACACGGTCGTACGAGCCCATGAAAATCACGCTCTCATCCGCCTTCCCTCTCGCTCGTTCCACCGATGGATTATTGACTTTGCGTTTGTCGGGCTCGCAGAAACCCCGCGCGCCGCGTCTCGCCGTCCCGCCTCCCAATCTGCCCCGACTGCCGGTTTTTCTTTCGCAGATTGAGGCCACACGGGTCGCATATTGGATCGAGATTCGCCGGAAATCGGAATGTTTGCCTCCCGAGAGAACTCCCGGCGCGTCCGGTTCGGACCTCTTCATCGTCTCGATTGGACCGGGGAAAAGATCTCCGACGATCGATTCAATTTGCTCGTTACTATTTCATTTCGCAAACGTGCCACCCGATCCTCGCACGAGACAATTATTTGTATGAATCGCGAGAGAAGTATGTAAAAAAAAAAAAAGAAAAATCTACAGGCGAGTTTGAAACAGTGGTTTGTAGCCGGATGAGAAAATGGAGCTTTGTTGCATCGGCCGGGAGCCAAATTGGAAGCTCCAAAGTACCAGAGACAGACGGGCCGCTCGAAAATCTCCTGCATCCGGCAAAACACTGACACGCGCGCACAAGAGAGAGAGACGGGGAGAATCCAGGCAGAGACGGCTCCGCGACTAAACGAGCAGAAAGCCAAAGCAAAGCCACGGTCAGCCAGTATCCGGCGCGGCACTGGTTCCAGTTTAATTACTCTCTTCATACAGACACTAAATATTCGACTGTCTGCGAGGTGGCCGACTGGCCTCGCGCGCCGCCCCCTTTCCATTTTCATTGAAACGATAATTATGCGAGGCAAAGCTCGGCTCCTATCGGCGCGCCGCCGTCTAACCCTGACATCGATCGGTTTCCCGCTCGATTTCACGTCGCTCCGAGACGACCAATAGGGTTAAAAGTACGCTAGGTCTCAAAGATGAAAGCAGGATCGCCGGGGGTCGTATCTGTGCTACGATATGTCCGACGTTTCTCTGATCCTCCGAATGTAAATATACGTCCGCGGGACAAAGTTAGGCCGTCGAGGTGCGCGCAAAGGATCCCAACTTAATTCGCTACCGGATAAATTTGTTTTAAACTTTCCAACGGTGGGTACGCGTTCACGCCTCCAACTCCTAATTGATTCCCGGCCACGTCTCGTCCTCATTTGACGCCGCCAACTTTTCTTCGTGACGCCAAACTTCCGCTCGTCTCACTGTAGAAATTTCATTCCCGCGCACGAACAAGGGGACAAAATCTAGGATACACTCGCTGCTATTTTCTATCCAAGAAAGTAGCCATTCGGAGCAACATTGATTTAACAACCGTAATTTCTGCTTTAATCATACTCAGTACATTTGTACTGTTTTTTAATCGGAATATGAATATATTAAAAAAAGAAACAAAGTTAGGCCATCGAGCTCTTGTTCCTCACAGAACTCTGTGTCACGCCCTTAATATTTAAACAAAGCTAGTCCGATGTAAAGATAACTCGGTCGCTGTTCATTGCGAGACTCGCTTTTATTCCACGGTAAAGGGGTTTATGTCTCGCCGCGTAACGAGCATCCCCTTCTGCGTAATACTATCCTATGTGAAATTTCTGGGACGCGGTGCCAAGAAAATCTCGAATTAACGCCGAGTTATTATCTCCGTTATAAACGAGAATACTTTTGTTCTTATCTCGAGAGTATTAATCAAAACACAATCAGAATTCTTGTTAAAAAATTGAACTACTTTTACATTTAAATAATTAATTAATTAATGAAATATGTGAATGTACATTGCAGTGTTTGAATGATGGAAGTAATTATTATTATCTAACTGTTGCGATGGATTTAACATAATTTTGCATAAAAATCAATTTCGAAAACCGACTAGTAATTAAAGGGTTGATCCAAAGGGATTGTTTACTATCGATCCGGTTGAAGGGGTGAATTCGCGGGGAATATTCAAGCGAGCGGGTAATCGCGGTAAGAAGGAAGACGCGTCGCGGATGGAAGAAAATCTGTGAGCGGATCGGAACGGGAAGAGGAAGAGCAGCGTCGCGAGACGCTCATCTGCATTTCAAATCGGCCGCTCTCCTATCCAAGATTTCCACGCGGAACCAATACCGGGGGTCGCGTGTCTGCGATAAGAATCCGATACCGATTCGAAGTCGCCACGCGAGATCGTTTCGTACGAACCAGGAAGCAAATACTCCTATACGTGTTCCGATTGAACTAACGAGACGTGTACCGACGTTTGTCTGACACGTCACGGAATTCAGTAAAAGCGCAATTTTTGTTAATACAATTCTGGATAAATAGACCAATTTCTGTTCACTGCCTTTTTTTTAACATTTTAAACAATTTACATAATTGGAAAAGTGGAAGCTAGGAGAATTCTGAAAATGAGCTTATGCTGCAAATGGGTTGAGCTAGTAATTCTCCAGGGAGTGACTAGACACCTCAATGATAACTTCTGATTAGCTGCAGAAAAGTGCGCCTAGCACGGAAATAGAGATAAAGCGGAAGTGTGAATATTCTACTATTTAACGTCAGGATTTGATCACTATACGAAACTCACGGAATACTTATAAAAAAATAATGTAACATTGTTTTATTATTATCTACATTTTTATTCCTGTAGGAATATTCCAAATATTGGTTCTTATTTCATTGACGTATTGATAGTGAACACAGTACATATTCACTTATTAATTTTGAGATATTGCGTTTTGAACATGCGACTTCCGGTTTAGACACATTTTTGTGTAGGCGTCCAATCCCTCCTTGGAGAGATAAATCAGCGATGATAGTCATTAAATTTGAAAATAATTGTCGATTTAAAAAATCTCAGACGACCTGATCACTTTTATAAAGATACCTTGACACTAATCGGAGATAAGTACAGATTTAGGGTGCATCGTAAGTATGAAACAGTGCAGTATCGATAGTGAGAGAATGAAAGATCACTTACCTTGCCGACTCCGGTGAGCTCTTTCACCCCTATCCTCCGTAGAAGCGCCGGAGGCGCGGGTGGCGGGGACTTGAGAAGAAGGGCGGCGTATCCATTTGGGAAGATCGGTTGCTCGTCGGAGCCGATATTCTCGTCACCTGAACGACGTCGCCGGTGCGGGCTCGACGAGAGGTTCAACTTTTGGGCTGCTCTGAAATTCAAACAAAAAAGACTTTCCTTTATCTCCCATCCTGTAAGTTTCATTTAAGGATGTATTGGTTACACAGTCAATTCCAAATGTTTATGCACTTTAGAAAAGCATTTTTTAAAAAGAAATCAGATGTCGGAAGAACATTGCTAATAATAAACA